CAGGAAGTAGGCGGTGGGGACTGGATCCCAGGCCCTCTCCCTGGGCCCAGCTCCAGCCACCTGAATGCTCTGAGCACTGGAAGACAAGAGGGGCCTGAGGCAGCTATCTCCAGAAGGTTGGAGGGTAGAGCACCAAAGACATTTCCCTCCAGCTGCACAACTGTCTCCTGAGGTGACCCAGATCACAGAGCACACATATCTCAACTAACAAGTGGCTGCAGATGGGCTTGACAGCTTTGCATGAGAGAATTTCTCAAACATTTTGCCATCTGCAATCGGTACTACCCTTTCAAAACACAGTTCGAGTTGGGAAAGCAGATGCATGCAGTACTGATTTTAAAAGAAAAGTTCAGTGAGAAAGGACTTTGTCTCCGATTACCCGCCTCCCCTCCAATCAGCGGGCATCTCCAACTTCTTTGGCAGGGACATGCCCTGAGAATTGAGATGGCTCATTTAATACCAACTGCTAAAAGGAAGCCAGGACCAGGTCAGCAAAAGATGTTTCCAACGTTGGCTAATGCTGTCTTATTGCTTTTGTTCAGTGAAGGTACCAAGGACTAAAAATAAACAAAACGAAGCTTGAAATGATGAAATAGTTCCTCATCTGTTAATATTCTAGAATGCCTAAATATTTGGTTGATCTTGGATAATGTGAAAATTGTGTGAGGCTGCTGTGTGTGACAGGCTCCCACGCTGCCTGTCACAGATTACTGGACAAGACGTGTCATGCTGCCTGCCCCTGACCGAAGGCCAACAGCAGTTGTCGTAAAAAGTGCATCCTTGATGTCCCTGGCAGATAACAAGGACAAGCTTGATTTTTTTTTTTTTTAAATACCATCACTCAAAACTATTTTCAATTCTTTCAAGTTTAAACTTAAGTTTTAATTTGTTTCTTTAAGACATACTGTACACAGTTTATGGTTTGGCCTTGCCATACTGACATGAGTTATTCTCTCAAACACTGTGAATACAACATAAGTACATAACATTTTTTTGGGAGGGCAATCTGGCCATTCAGATCAATATTTTAAATAGGTAATCCCTTTGACCCAACACTTCCCCTTCTAGGAACTTATCCTAAGGGGAAAAAATAAAAATAAAATACCAGTGGCATAAGGGTAAGTATTAAGATATCCATCAAAAAGCCACAGTGAAAAACTGAAAAACCTAAATGACTATGAAGTATATCTATCAAGCATATGTAATATGTCACACAGCCCTTAAAGTGATGTTGATATATAATAGTTGACATAAAACATGTGCATATTAAGTGAAAAACCAAGTTATAAAACAGTATCCAGAAGAAAAGTTGTTTTTCAAAAGTATTTCTCTCTGCCTAGAAATAGTCTTGGGAATGAGTATACATTAAAACGTGGGTATGTGTGGGATTCCAGGAGATGTTTCTCTTCTTTATATTATTCTGAATGTTTGCAAAAAGATTTTTCTAATTTTCGTTACTAAAACAGACCATTTTCAAACTAATATGTTTTTGAAATACTGTTGCTCCTTTCTGAACAATGAAGATTTAACTCCAAAATAGAAATATGACATATTGTCCCTGACAAGAGGATGACTTCTAAGACACTTAAATAATACTTCTCAACTGGTTAATCTGGAAGATTAGAACAAAAAATATCATTGCAGGAATTAGAACGATGAAATCAATGCAGAGCGGCCTAAAAAACAAGGCTGCCAATAAAATAGAGCTTCAAAGTGAGCCCATGCTCCTGGGGAAGGTGGGGAGTGGCGTGAGCTCACTTGCTAGGCCTCATCATCACGCTAAGCTGCGGGGCTTCTCTGGAACTGTGGACAGAGAACCACAGCCCAGGACCCTGCTGTCACTCAAGCAATCCTCCCACCGGGACAGGCATCTTCAACAGTATTTCTAACAGAGACTGTATAGTCGCAGGAATAGGGAGCTCATGACATCCTAAGAGACGATTCAATGAATGGACGAAACCATGGGAAATTCTGCTTTATAATACATGGAGATCACGGCTATCTTTGGACTCTCATGGAATTATGAGTTATTAAATTTGAAAATAAAAGTACCTGAAGAGATAAACTACAAACCATTTTATCTAAATGCTGAGATAACACGACCTTTTCAGTTTTAGAAACTATTAGAAACTCTAAGTGACAAAGGATTTGTAGGGCTAAGGATAATTTGAGATTTTTCTATGTTCAGAGGGCACTTCGTATCTGAAAGGGCATCAGCGAGGCTGAGGCCTTGACTGGTTTTAATGGTCAAGTAATTATCTGTACAAATGCATTGAGCCTTCTAACATAATTAGGATCACTGATCTTTAAGAGCTTCCATCAGTGCCACACAATCGCACCGATAGCGTACTTTCAACTTTAGTCTGTAAAAATGTTTCATTTGAACCGGATTATTGGTATATACAATAGTACTTGTTTTTAAATACACTATAGAATCAATACAGTCACAGATTTCTCTCCCCATTACCACTTTACTGTTTGAATTGTGGTAATTTTAGAAACCAAAGTGAACAGTTAAAAATAAAGCAAGATAATTATAAGCACAAGAGATTATTGAAAATAAGTAAAAGCTAACAGTTATTGAATGCCTATGATGTGCCAGGCACGGTGCTCACACTTCAAAGCTTTAATCTTTACAATTCGGCAAATTATTCTCACCCCTATTTTAGGGACTTAAAAAAAAAAAAAAAAGTTTAAAGAGTTTCAGTGACTTGCCAAAGATCATATAATCATAAGGTTAATGCTGACACTGATATTTGATATAAGATCGCTCAGAGTTAAGAGCCCACGTTCTTGACACTGTTTAAGCGGTACCTCTTATTTAGGTAACTGTACACATGTTAAAATGTGAATTCATCAGGATTTGGGTCACCTGTGACAGAAAACATAAAACAAGAGGCTTCAGTCATGTAGGAGTTTTATTTCTCTCCATCGCAGAGGTAAGTAGTCAGGGGGGATTCATGGTCCTGGATGAGGTCTAGAGCTCCAGCCATTACCTCTTCATTCTTAGTGGCTCTGTGCCCAACTAAAAACCAGAATTTGATGCAAGAAAGGAGAATGAATATTGAGAAAGACAAATAATAGCCTCTGCCACAATGTGCTTGTGGAATATGCCAGGAATAAAACGTAGATCTTAAATCTTTCATCTCCCCTTTCGTGCAGGTGTATTTTCTGCTAGCAAGGAGTGGAACGTTAACTTGTATTTTCTGGATGTTTGAAGGATTTCATGAAAACCACAGTCATAAACCCTTATTACCCGCCATCCAGAATTAATAAATATTATATTTCCTTCAGATCTTTAAAAAAAAAGATTCAGATGAGGTCCCTTTTGCTAGCCCATCCCAGTTCCATTCCCCTTCCTCCCTTTCCGGAGGAAATTACTTTTCTGAATCATGTGTTTCCCATTGATGTTTCTACATTTTCTCTCTGTAAATAACTATAACAGTATTTTTAAAAACTGTATAAATGGCATACATTTCATCTTTTGATAGCTATTTTTTCCCCAAGGGCTAGTCACCAATGTTACAGATCAATTCACTCATTTTAGCTGCTTGACTCTACCACCTTATAAATAGGACACAATTTATCCATTTTCTTGTTCACAGACATTTAGGTACAAACAATTCTGCTGGGAACATGCATGTCTCCTTGTACATATGTGCATGGGTTCTTGAGAGTACTGTTCCACACGCTTTAAAGAGCCTAAGAAATCTTGTTAACTGCAGATTCTCATTCAGCAGGTCTGGGGTGGGGCCCGAAAGCTGCACTCAGAACTACGTTCCTTTGCCGCTGTTCTGCGCACATCTGAGAAGTGAGACTCTAGCTGGAGTTGCTGGGTCATAGGGTGTATAACTTCAACTTTCATAGAATCATCAAATTGAATCAATTTTACTCCAAAAGAAATCAAAGTGTTCTCATTTCTCCATCCTCACCAATACTTGATCTTGTGGGACTTTCTGCCTTTTGCCAATCTGAAAGCATGAAACATTAAATCACATTTCCCTGATTATCAGCGACAATCATCTTTTCATATTGTTGGACTATTCAGGCTTTTCCTATTCATATATTTTATCCATTTTTCTAATGTAGCAGTTCTAAGTGTGGTCTGAGGTCTCTTCCTTTTCCAATTTCCTATCATGTGAAGCTTGATTTTCTTCATATACTTTAACCAAAATATAGAGCAAAAGACTGCAGAAACAGATAGGAGAATCCAGCTGTCTTTTATTAAGCTAAACATTAAGGAGATTTTCAAAAATGTAAAACAATGCTTCTCAATAAATTGTTTTGAAAAAATATTTTCCATAATTACTTAATGTGTATTATTTTTTAAATAAATTAATGCTTTAAATTTTGTATTTTAATTTCTAATGAGTGACTACCAATAGATATAATCTACACACGCATACAAAGAAAAATCTCTCTGCGGCTCTCAATTTTGAAGAGCATAAAGGTGCATTGAGGCTAAAAAGTTTGAGAACTGTTGTATTAATGCATGGCTGTCACCTGGTCATAGATTTGTAGGAGGTTCTTTTGTTTTTAATGTATTCTAGATCCTCATCCTTTGGTCAGTTTTATGTATTATAAACATTCCTCCCTGTCTGAGGCTTGTCTTTTTATTGTTCCACAGAAGTTTTTATTTTGATTCAGTCCCATTTTCCTATTGTGTTGTGCTTTTGCTATTTTGAAATAGGGAAAGTCTCACTGACTTTATAAAGAACCCCAGCTTTGGCACCATTGAATGAATTATGGAAAGGAAACAGAATTCCTCCTTTAATGAAATCAATGTAAAATGTGCTTATGTATTTTAGTACATTTTGTTTTGCCTCAAATGAAATCGAATGTCTGTGATTCACCGCAAAATATTTTACCCTTGACATAATATATGTTTCTATTTTCTCTTTAGAAGTAGATTAGGAAGGAAATTCCTACAAAACTTAATGCACATTTAATTCAACATGCACATTTCTGTCTGCAAATATTTTAACTGGAAAAGATTTAACTCATTTAAATTCAACATTTTATATAAAGCTTTTGTATTTACAAAGCACTTTTCATATATACTATTGTGTTGACCTTCATAATAATACTGTATGATAAATGGGGACAATATTATGCTGAGAACTGTGTCAGAGTTAAGGAAAATTAAGATCAGAGAAGTTAAATGATTTCGCGGCATCACATACTCAGAATCAGAAATGAGATCTAAATTCCAATCACGATGGATGAAGATCATTAAAAATTATGGTTGATTTCTGACAATCACAATAAAAGTGACAAGTAACCCCAATCGATCCTCACATGACGCAGAAATAAATTAAACACCTGAATGGCTGGCACAAGAGGAAGCAAGGAAGGCCTGAAGGGCATCTGCAGGGCAGTCTCTGGCTTCTTACTTTTTTACTGTACAATAACATGCAACTAATATGCCCGTTTATTCATTAATATTTCTATTCATAATTACGAGCATTTCATCTAATTCAAATTAGAGGAAGGTGGAGAGCGTTCAGATGAAGCCTGGGTCTAGGATAGAAAAATGACTAACATTTCCCCTGAAGGGACCAAGGAGGGAAAAAACAATTAGGAAGCATTTGTGATTGTTACAGAGAGAAAGGGAAGAAGATAAAAAAAATATACATGTTTCTAAATTAAACAGAAAAAATTAACGATTAAGGTATAAAAGCATATTTTCAAGTAAATCACACAGAATGACCCACATCGTCAACACTATCCCTGAGGCTTCAGAAAAGACCTTGCCATCAGAAACCGGTATTTTAGAGCTTATACATGCCTGAAGACTCCTCCATTTGAAGATTCGAGGATATAAGAGAAACAACTTCACTGAACAGAAAGTCTGTATTTCAAGCTAGTGAGTTCAAAGTTATTTTCAAGACCAATTAAAAGAATTGCCCACTTAATCCACTCTAAAAATTGACTCATCACCAAACATATACTTGATCACACTCACTTATGTAAGAATTCTCCATAGTTCTTTTGATTTAATATTCGTCTTTGCTACGGAATAGATGGCATAAATATCAGCCCTGTTCAAAAATCTTTCATTAAAAAAGTTTTCTCCATTGAATGATGTAAAAAACAAAATAAAAATTTCTGAAAATAGAGAATGGAAAAAAACCAAGGCAAAATATGTCTTAAAGAGTCAGTATAAATTCTAAACCATCTGCTACCTGGATCCATTATGCTTTACAGCTGTCACCGTGCCTAAGGAGGAAGCGCCATATAAATTAATTTGCTTCCACCTCCACAATTCAAAGCGAAAAGCCAAAAGATATATCTTGTTGATAACTACCAGTAAAAATCTCAAATTAATGTAATTATATCTTGAAAAGAGATAATTCTTGAAACATAACCAGATAAGTTCCATTAGTTTGCACCTATTAGTGTCCTTGAGGGGAAAAAAAATAATCAATAATAGATTATTTAGAAATTACTTTAAAATTAGAACTGGCGTCATGGTATCAGGTGGAAAAAAATCTATGATGATTTTAAAATGATCTGGAATCATTGACAGATCATGAAGCATAACAAAATACAAGATACAAAAACAACGAATCAATCATATAAAAATACTTAATGTGAAATTCACAAAATAAAACATATAGGGGCATTTGTATGTGTTAAAATAATTTAATTCTCCCTGTACATTTCTGTCCCCATGAGCCAACATAAATCAAGAATGTATACTTTACAATATTTACCTGTTCTGAGATATTCAAGTCAATTCAGATGGCAAAAGTAGAATTCAATCACTAATGAAATGTTTAAAAATATATATATTAAACAAAAAAAATATTTTTACAAGATAAAAAATAATCTTCCACAATGCAATAAATTGCAGATCACTGAAATTTTAACTCTTTAGATGATTTCAGTTCAGTTTTTGGTTTCAAAATCTAGAGACAGTCAAAAGAAAAAGCGCTGGCAGAAGGTCTATCTGTTTTTACGTTTCTCTTTCTTGCTTCGACTACTCGTTACACTGTTTAAGGATGATGATGAAGGTGCTCTTGCATGACCTGTGGCCTTCAGATGGTCAAAAAGTTTATTCCGGGATGGAAATTCACTATGGCAGGTTGTACAGCTGATAAGAACATCATTCTGAGAAGAGAAGGAAATAATAAATAAAAGCATGTATTATTATCTGAGAGCAGTGTTTTATGTTTTCATGTCGAGATTAAACATTAAACAATTGCAAAAGAAAGATCTCTCTTAACAAAACGAACAGCTACCAAGACAGGCTCAAGAGAGGCGGCCGTTCTTGGAGGTTAACTCCCATTAATCGACACTATGAACCTAAAAAGTCCCAAGACATTCAATAGCATGCACCGGATGGACTAGACCAAGGCTTTAGATTTCAAAGTAATGGAAAACAGAATAGTAATTGTTCTGGTACAGGCTGGTATTTCCAATGTGCTACTTCTTACCTTAAAAAAGAAAAATGGCAGTAGCACATATATAAATTCTACATTTGTCAAGGAAAACTGCCGAGGGACCTGTGTGGACCGTGGGGACCCATGTGAACCGTGTGGATCCGTGTGAACCTGTGTGGACCTGTGCGAAATCTAGAGACAGTCGTGGACCCGTGTGGATCGTGTGGACCCGTGTGGATCATGTAGACTCATGTGAACCGAGTGGACCCATGTGAACTGTGTGGACCCGTGTGGACCTGTGTGGACTGTGTGGATCTGTGTGAATCGTGTGGACCCGTGTGGACCTATGCAGCAGGGACAGGAGGGTTCGCCAAACACACACTTCCGTCTTCAGAATCAGAATTAAACATATAGATTCTACTGTTTAAATAACAAGTCTACTGAAGAGATGTCAGTATGATTTTGGCCTACCATCGTCTGTGGCTCAGCAGGTACTTTGACAGACTTTTTTGTATCTTTGGCTTTCTTTCCTTTGGGTTTAGAAACACTGGAAAATAAATAAAAGAATTCAGCATAATCTAATAATAACATACCCCTTTTAATTGTCATCATGCTCCCAAGACGACTCAAAAGAATGACATGCACTTTAAAGGCTATTTTCACATATCAAATGAATAGCTTTAAAGAGCAACTTTAGAGATCTCAGTAAGAATCAAATTTGACACAAAAATTAAAAGATTTACTTAAAACAGTTGAAACATAAGATAAAATAAGACCCTGAAAATTCTCTGAACTTTTCTACGGTGTGTTTCCGTTAAAAAGCAAAGCACTTAATACTCCCTTTATTGAAGCAAATCATTTTCACAGCCGACCAGCAGAACTCACAAATACTCTTGACATTACGTGTGGCTCCCCAAAACACAACCTCTTGAGCCTGATCCAGCCTATCAAACAGTTCAACAGTTCCACAGCAGAATGAGAAAAATAAAGACACTGGAATGTACTTTTCATAAAATTAAATTTGTTCAACATGAAGAATTTTCTTTGATTAAAAGATTATGTCTTTTCTGATGATCTGGTGAGCTTTCCCCCGTGAACCCTTTAACCCAGAAACTGCCAGCCAGGACAGTCAGTTTCCTCCTCTTCCACTTTAACTCCCGAACATTCTTCTAAATCTTCTATATGAATTTTAATTTTCCTGATTCATTTTGAACTTTCCCTCATTTGTGCTAACCAAATCCTCAGGGCAAAATCCAAGTGCAACTGTATGTACAGCACAGACAGGATGTGTTATAAAGAATGAGTTAGGATAATGCTGCCACACTACTGTTCAAGCAGAAACCTAGAGTCTATGAAGTTAAAAGGCCTATACAGGCATCCCTCGCCGTATTGTGCTGTTCAGATGTTGTGTTTTTTAAAAACTGAAGGCAAGACCCTCCACCAGCAAAAAGATTATGACTTGTTTCACCACGGGGGTGTGGAACTCAAACCGCAATACCTGTGAGGTACGCCTATACGTTTAAAAGACCCAGATCAGGAGTGTCACAGAATATTCTGTAGTATGCAGACAGCTTTGAAAGCCTCAAGATATGAACACAATGGCATAAAAGGCTACAGATTAACATTTGCTAATTTACAAAGTATCATCACAGATATGCCACAAATATATCCAAGAAAATTTAGGATAATATTCCTGGAAGGTAATTTATCACATTATGAAAGAGAGCAGCTATCTCTCTGAGGCTAATATCTAAAGGCTTTATTTTTAAAAAGTACTCTAGATCAAAAAATAAAAAGTACTCTAGATCCGCGCTTTTTAATGAAGAACTTCTCACTAGGTGGCCCGCAGCAGTGCCCTGTACAGAAGCACCAGGGGGGTCCTGCAGAAAGGCACTGGAGTCCGGACACCCAGTGGTGTGCGTGTGTGAGCTCGCGCGTGTCTATCCATCCCAGCCCTGCCACCCCTCAGCAGTGAAGACATCACCTGAATTCAAAGTCTTAACTTTTAGCAATGAGAACTCTTTACTGAATTCCAAATAAATTCCCATGTAGAGGAAATATGGAAAACGAATGAAAACATTTCAGCTCTAGATGAAAGAGATGGTCAGGTGTCTGAGGCCCCATCTTTTGGCCTACCCCTCATGCCCACCAAGCAGCCCCCAAAGGACCTTCACAGATCACTTAGGCTCCACGGAGCTAGTTAATCTGGTGCCTTCAAAGAGTCAGGCAGATAGGGATTAAACGCCAGCTCTTCCATTTACCAGCTTTTGTTCTTGGGCAAGTACTTACCTGAGACTCAGTTTCCTCATTCGTAAAACGGGAAGGAACACCTAGCATCAGAGTGGTGTCTAACTTCCCCATCCAGGTTTCAACTCTCCAATGCTCCCACATTACCAGTTTGCGGAGTTCCCTGTCTCCCTCTCCTACAGCTGTAGCCCTACGCAAGGCCTCCAGGACGCAATTCCCTCATTTGTGCCACCTAAAGTCCTTAACCCCTAAGTTCACTTCGCCCCTCCACTGCTGCTCCAGTGTGAAGCATTTTCAATCACATTCCCACTTTACTCTGTCATTTGAACTCTTTTACATGGCCCTATGACAGGAGCCTGAGGCTACTTACTCTACAGAGCTTTCCTCGAGGAATAAGAAATTATTCCATTCTAGAGGAACAGAGGAGGATGGGGACAAAAATGTCAGATAAAGAGAGGAAAAAGAATGCTATCTCCCCTGCCCTAGGCCTTCCCCTCGCCAACCCCGATGGCCTGGTGCAGCATCAGGATTTCGGGACTCCTTTGGGCAGGAAAGCCCCAAGCTGTGGACATATATCCTGATGCCCGCGTTGTGGGGCTGAACACAGGATAACTGCCACAAGCGTGGAGATTCCGTTAGTGATGCTCCCAGCAGGTGGGGCCTGGCCTCGTCAGCAGCCTTGTTCTCATGTGAGTGTCCAGGACAAAATAGGGACCTCACAGGATAAGGGAAACAAACTGGAGCAGAGTGACTTCTTTCTGATTTCGGCCATGTTGCTGAAATGTCTGTGGGCACATTCCTCTAGCATTCTCTTTACAACACACTTCATCTGTATACATATGAACATATGTCTGGACAGACACAAGACACAGATATATCTAATGTACCTCCATCAATCATGGGAAAAGAGATTCTGTTTGATATATAAAAAGATATCCTTACTATCAATATTAAGTAAGTAGAAAAAAACATGCACCGACTTACCTCTTTGCTTCATTTTTTGGGTCATCACACAGTTCGACAGTCTCTGTGTCACTGACATTTTCTTGGGGACTATCTTCCAATCCTTTGGCACTGTCTTGATTTAAGTTAGTATCTTCTGGATCAACCTTTAATCCTTCTCCAGTTCCATTTTCATTAAAATTGTCATCATAACTCTAGGTAATAAACATGCATGCATTACAAAATAAATACTATAATACTGTCACGTTATATCGCCAAATAGCTATAATAAACAATGATAATGTCCTGTGCATTCTAGTTGGATTATATCTTCAGGAAACAAAAGCAGATAATAATTTAAGAACATGAAGGATCACAGAAATAATTAGTGAAAAACTGGAAAGAAACCAAATATTCAATAAATTGAATATATAAAGGAAAATTATGAAGCTCTTCAAATTATGTTTCCAAAGATAATTGATTCGATTATGTGAAAAATACAACATACTAGCAAAAATCGAACAGAGAAGTTTATATGTAACATCTGATTACAATTTAAGTACTATCTATAGGCAGAATTAGAATGATATTTATACTTTTCTATATTTTCCAAATAATCTGCAATGAGCAACTATTACTTTTATAGTCAGGAAAAAAAAAGAAGAAAAAAACAACAGGCATTATAAAAGGAAGATGCTTGGCAAACTATCTTCATTAAGTGCAATTGTTTTCTTTTTGTTTTGAGTAATATTTTGCCACGTTTGCTCTCTTCCTCTCTTCCTCCCTTATTCTCTGCACACACACTTTTCTCCCATGAACTGTGAAAGCTGCAGGTAGATATCATGACACTTCATCAGTTATCGTCTAAGAACAAAACCTTTCTCCAATTCACAATGCTCTCTTCACAGTCAAGAATTTAACACTGATACTGTTACACAATCCGTATTCACATTCCAATCATGTCATCTTTTGTAACCCTTGATAATGGGTGTAATCAAGGATCTTAAGTTGTAGATAGTTGTTATATCTCTCTAATTCCCTTTACTCTAGAACAGTACCCCTTCGTTTTTTTGTCTTTCATGATATTGAAGATTTGATGACTGTTTTGTAGAATGACTTCTAGATTGGCTTTGTCTGATTGTTTCCTCATGATTAGATTCAGACTAAACATTTCTAGCAAAAATAGTGTAAAGATAACGCTGTGCCCATCTCAGTATCTTTGTCCCATTTTTCAGTGATTAAAGTCTGATCATTTGGTCAAATGGTATTGCCAGACATTTCCTTTTTCCTTTTTGAATTAGTAAGTACTGTGCAGAGTGTTATTTTGAGACTACCTTGTTCCCTGGTACCTACTCACCTAGTGGGTCTGGTACCCACTAACGATTCTTGTATGAACCATTTATTACAGCAGAACAGTGATTTTCTGCTTTTATTAGTACTGCCATTTGCATTGGTACTAATTTCTATTCTGCTGTAATGACACTTTCCTGTCTGTATCCTTTCTCCAACTCTCTTTTTAGGCTCAATATATCAATAGAGATACATAAACTTTTTAAAAACAAATCAATGTGTAAAAATCTATCACTATTATTCTTTTTGATGACTCAAATTTTCCCAAATGTGGCAAGCCCTTAAGCTGACTCTGGGGTGGTTCTGATGTATCCCAGCCAATTTGAATACTTTCTTAGTTTATAGGGTTTACATTGTATTTTCTCTGTCCCACCCTGGAACTAGCCATTTCTTCAAGGACCAAACCCTGACTCCTTCACTGGAGACTTAGAGAAGAAGATGTATACACTAGGCATGCTCGCTGCTACTGGGGTGTCACTGCTTCTAGGCCCTCACAGTGTACACAGCTAGTGCACTTTTTTTTAATGCACTTATTTTTTTAAATGAGCTCATACTGATATCTCCAACTCTAATCCAACGTAACAGTGGTCTTCTTCTCTTCCCCTCAATCTACTTCTGCGCTTCCCTTCTTACACAAGAGAATCTGGTTCCCAACACCATTATGTATTTACAATCGTCCCTCAGGACCCATCGGGAATTGGTTCCAAGACCCCCACAAACACCAAAAATCCATAGATGCTCAAGTTCCTTACATAAAATGGCATAGTATTTGCATGTAACCTACACACAGCTTCCCATTTACTTCGGATCATCTCTAGATTAGTTATAATAGCAATATAATATAAGTACTATGTAAATAGTTGTTATAGTGTATTGTTTAGGAATCAACTTTCTGGATTTTTAAAAAATATTTCAATTCTATGTTTGTTTGAATCTGCAGATGAAGAACCTGTGGATACAGAGGGCCGACTGTACTTATTTGCTCTATCCTGTAGCACACACAAAACAGTTTCCAAAATACTACACCAATACCTCCAAAATATCTAAGTAAAGTTCAAGATTTGCTTTTTTTTTCCCTGCAATTAATTTTGTCTTTAGAATATGTCCCATGGATGGTGTTCAGAGTACTGTGTTCAAAAGTTTCTTGGATTAATTCTTCCTGTCAGCCAGGGTCATTTGTTTACATTCAATTTCAGTTTCGGGCGTTTTCTTTTACAATCCTTGTTGGCTTATGCAACTTTTTTTTTTGACTATACAGAAAACTCTCCCATTCTGAAGTTTCACGATTCTCAGCAGGTGCTGTTTCCTGCTCTTTCATCCACCTGTACATGTCTCCATATTACCATCCTCTTCAAAAAGAACTTAGGAATATCAGGAAAAGTGCTACGTAAAACTAGGTCTAAATGGGGGCTTTCCCCCGATACAATGATAAATCAGAAACAAGAGGTATTATTGAGGAATATGGCTGTAGTGGGGAAAAATGGGTGATAAACTGAAGCATCTTCTTTGGTAGGAAAACAATACAAGGATACAAAATGTGTTTATTATTGCAATCTTTAGGATCTATCTTTCCTGACTTGAGATAGGCTTGGGTTAGGTATAAATTGCTCTCCATTTTATTTTGTCTTTATTCTAGTGGTTCTGGAACACACACAAGAGAGAGAAAGTGTTCTAAACTAATAACTATAGTCTTTGGGTAGAAGATGGTATGAGTGACTTTATAGAAAGAACATAAAACTTGCTATGTTGTTTAATAATTGAAGCAAAAGTTCCAATTTTAACAGTAATTAACTCGTGTCATGTATCATTTTTGGAATGAGATAGATAAAAATTATCAAATATATCATAACCATTTGGATAAATAAGCCAAATCTAAAGTTTTATTAAAAATTATTAGTGTGTAACCTAGGTTTTCTTGAAAACATTCAGTTCTTAAAAAGAACTATATTTAACATTACTTAACATAAGCTAATATAATCAGATTATATCAAAATGGCAGACATCAATTCCATTCCCTTTAGAACCACCAAATATCCTTTATAAAAAGGACAAGTTTATTTTGTTCTTATAGGTTCAAAAACATCCACAAGCTTGTATTACACATATATATAAGCATAATACCTTTTTTTAAAAGTACAGTTGGGCCCCTGTACCTGCAGGTTTTGTATCATTAGATTCAACCAACCAAGAATCGAAAGCAGCATTTTTGATCCCTGGATGGGAATCCACTGATGCAGAGGCCAACCGCATGCACTGTTGTACACCATTTTCTACAAGGGACTTGAGCATTCGTGGATTCTGGAATCTGCGGGGGTCTTGCAACCAATCCCCCATGGATACTGAGGGATGGCTGTAATTCTTAAAACAGAGATTGAATTGGATCACTGGATCTCAGGTGTGAAATAAACTACTTAAATTTCTGAGTAATATAAAAATACATTTTCCCAATAATCACAATCATGGCAAGTTTCTAACCAAATGCTCCTTTTGCAAAATTTCATCTATGTTGTTGCTAGAACAAACTTGGATATACAATGACCAGTCCCCATTTTTTATTTTAATTATCTTGATTTAAAAACCCTGACTCTACCTTTGTCCAGATATTTTTTTAATATGGTCACTCAGCTAATTTTTATGAACGGAATTCCACATGCAAAATTCTTAAATGCACTGACAACGATAATTAAATAAATTAGCTACATACATATAGGAGATGTGCTGAAAAGATAAAATGTTTTCAACTCCTTTTAATGATTTACAATCGACTTGAAATTAGAGAACGAAAGACCCTCTTCTCAATACAAATTATACTGAATAAACAAGAGCACTGTATTTAATTTTTCATGGTAAAAAAACTTTTTAACATACCTGTGCTGGTTTCTGTTTCTTTTTCTTCTGTTTTTTAGAAAGCCTAAGAACAAATATAAATCAAAATGTCAAATAGTTCTTTGTGAACACTAAGTGAAAAGAAAAAATACTGAAAACACTAGTGACACAGAGAGAATAAATTACTTAATATCATAAAACATTAAAAAGACAAGAAAATGTTCACATTATCATTTCAGAAAATTATAACAGTGGTTCAATTGATAATTAGCATATCAATTACCTAAGCATAAAACTGCTTTTAAAATAGTCATAATATAGTCTACAAAAATTATATTTGACCTCATGTCTTTACCCATTTCAATACTATAAAGTTCTTTTAACCAGAAGTGCAGATATTAGTAGACCAAAGAATAACTTCTTTGAGATAAAACAGCATTTAAATGCAGTCTCTAAATGGGATAAGTATGTCTAGTGACATTTTCGGAAGTACTTCTGTTTTGGTGCATCCTCCATTTCTTCCTCAGAATTGGCATTCAACAGATTTTCATCAGTCTGAGGTCCTGAAAAATTTTCTTCCTCCTCCTCCAACTGCTGTTTTAACAAGGCAACCATTTCCCGATGCTTCTTTGATTTTTCATGATTCCTCATGCTGAAAGAACAATCTGATGTGAGTAACTGCAACAGGATTATGTCATATGTGCCCAAAAGTGCTACTGGGTAAGTGAGACCAAGTTAAAATTTACTTTTTTTCTGATTAAGCAAAATGTTAGGGATACTATAAAAAGAAACGGAGCCCTGTCAGTATTTCTAGGCTTTAAATACACTGGCAGCCCACGACTGCTTTTTTCCTGTGACCCAGCATTGTCCCCTTCCTCTGGCATTTTATCTACATATTTTCTCCCTGCTTTTTTCTTTTCTTTTTTTTTTTTTTTTTGGTCAAATTCTCTTATCATTTTTATTTTCCAATTCTTAAAATTCAAAACTTCTCCACTGTTTCCTCTTAATAACTAGTTATTTGCTAAGCGCTTAGATGTTCCGGGTCATGCTGTGGGTTTCAAGAGATCACCGGAAAATTACAAAACAACATTCTAACCTTAAAAGGAAGACACCAGGATTGGAGAAATGGTGACATGAGGCTTTGAAGTCTGAGTAGTTTACCTCCTTTTGCCTTTTTCAACAGCTGTCTTTCCCCTTTTCAAGAGGATTCTCCCTGCTCATTCCCACCATCCTGCATGTGAGTCCAGACACATTTCTACCCCTCTAAAACTCTGAGCAATGTCTATTTCAGTGCCCCACAGACAACTCAGTAACACCTTACAAAACAGAGGTGACAACGTTTAAGCTACAAAAGCTAGATAGACTAGAAAAGAGGAAGCTTATGTCACTATCGACTTTATCTCATTTTCTAATCTAGGCTGCTACTCTTCTTTCCCACTAAAATTTTCCTTCAAATCAACCTTCCTTAAAGAAATTGGAACATCTTGTGACAGAAACTAAATGCTCAAAAATATGATTGGAATGTGTCAAAAGGACATAGGAGCTACGTTAAAGGAACTCTCACTAACCATATCTAGAAAAATTTGAGCATGAAAAGAATAGTAATAAATTATAAGATACTGAAAAGAATTCATAAATTCAGACTAACAATTCAGATAAATTGGTTAAAGGGAGGGCTCCTGTTTATAGCCAAAGGCCAAACGATGACTAATGATGTAGAAGGAGCACCAGAACCAAAAAAAGCCTCATTCGGGGACCATCACAATGCAGACTGGTATGAGCTGAAATCATCAATGGATGCTAAATCTGGGAAGAAAATTTTGATGAGGAGCAAGATTTTGCATAGTTTTAAAATGTTCCCCACAGATTAAACATGCTCTAAAAAAATACATGTTGCAAGGGAAATAATACTAACTTTACAGCGGAACACTTTGATTGGGTGATCAAAACGATCACTACCGATGAGGGGCAGACAGATATTACATGCCTATAGATACGAAACCCTAAGAGCGACACATGGTTATACAGTATTCCAGCTGGGAATGCACAACCTGAATCTAATCATGAGGAAATAACAAACCCCAAATGAGAAAAACGCTATTAGGACCGGTATTCTGGTATATCAGTGGCACAGACAAGGAAACTGGTCCAAATTAAATGAGACTAAACAAATAAATGGAATATATGACCCTAGATCAGAGCCTATAACAAAGTGGGAAAGAGGCCATACAGGACATTAGTGAAGGATCACCTGGAGAAAGGAGAATGTGGCAGTAAACGGGATAAAAGTACCATATCAATGTCACAAATCTCCTGAAGTTGACTGTGATTATGTAAGAGAATATCCTTATTCTTAAGGAATATATATCCGTATTCTTAAGGAATATATACAAAAATATTTAGAGGTAAAGGAGAATTATGTATGCCACTTACTCTGAATTAATCAGGAAAAAAAACCAGTGAACCAGGTGCTCCAAAGTCTGCTCTTGCGACTTGTATAAGTTTGACATTTCCAAATAAAAAATAATTTTTAAAATTCTCCTTCATTGTTGCTTTTGTTTTCTTGCTTGTTCCTACCTTCTCTGCCTCTCCCTTTTCTCACTACTCAGTGACTTTCCCCTCGGGGCTTCACAGCAAGACCATTTCTGACGCCCACGTCCTCATTGTCAGCCTTTGGTCTCCTTTCCACTTTTTGCATGTTTTGTCTTTTTTCCCTTGCTGATTCTACATCTTCTCCCACATTCTTTACCCCCTTTATAACAGTATCCTTTTGTGCTTCACTTCGGCAGCACACATAATAAACAGTACACTTTTTAATTTCTCTTAGTCATTGTTCCCATGAAATAAAGACCTTCCACTTCAACAAATACACTAGAGGCACTTCACGTTTAAAGTTCCTACGCTGGCAGCAATGGCCTTTACAGGCGCGTGATGTCTGCAAGGGAGTCTGCAGACAACAGCGAGAGATCATTACCTTTGGTGCAGCCTTCCTGCCTGTGTGACTATGCCTTCTTTGCCAAAACAAGAAACATTTCTTTCTGCAGACAGCTGACATGTTTAAAAAGCAGCTATTACATAGGAATATTGGCATGACTGAGAATCAGCACAACAGGCTTACAACTGCTCGCAAAAATATCCTTCCTCCCCTGCTGGACTGACATCCCCCAAGATGACACGCGAGGCCTAGTGATTGACTGCTCCAAGCATTACCTTTTTAGGACTTTCAAAGTGTTACACTTCACCTTAAAAAAAAGGTGAGCTCAAAGATATTAAACTTACGCCTTTTCCGTCTTGAAAGATTTGTCACACGCTGGGCAGTAAAGGCCATCATAAAGCTCTGCATCCTCGGCCTCATCGCTATCCTTACCTGTAAGAAGAAAGCCTATAGTAAGAAGCCTGTTTGATTAGAACCCAAATCTAAAACATGTTAACAAATTATATCTCTTTAGTAAGGATCTAAAGTTGCACACAAATTAGAAATAAAATGTTTATTTCCTTACCAAAATAAAAAAAAAAATACCCAAAAATGTTATTAGGATCTAAGTCGACCTTTTAAAAGCAGCATTAAATTATAAAGGATAAATAAGTCAAAAAAATCACTTTCCGTTTTAAGTTTTTTTCATAAGTCTACTTAGAAGACAAAAAAATTCTCAAAATCCTGGGTGCGAGGTAAGTTTAGAAAATCAAATGCCACTTTCATAGTTCTACCAAGAAGCAGGTTTTTCAACAAAGTTCTTTAGTTTACCTCTTAAGCAAGATTTGGTACAAACAAATTTATAACTGTAATCTACTCTCAAATGCTTAAACTTAGCTTATGATATTTCATCAGTATTAGGTCAAAAGACAGCATATTACAGGTAAAGTTTAGCATTGTTCTTACAGACTTTATCAACTTGAAGTTTTATTACAATGGAATAATTACTATCAATATAGTCCAAAAATCTAGGCAACCAAAAAGCTCAATTCAAAGTCTTTGCATAATACCATATTCTATTTTGATAAGAAATAAAAAAGTAAATTGAGTGCCATTTGGGACTTCTTATGGGAGCAATAAAGAACGCAAGGTATCTGTTCTATAGTCTACAGTATGGTTTTTTTATAAGTGATGTTAATATGATTCTGAAGAACATTCTCATTGAAATCAGAAATGACCAAAATAATCCAATGTTTATGAGTATTATCTTCCAATTATGTGTACGCTTTCAATATATGGTACACATGAAATAAAATTTGATCAAATAATAAAGAATGCAGGTCAAAAACTGAATCTAAAAATGGTCCTATGGCCTCAAGCATATGCCATTTCTTCTCAGAGTCTTAGTTTCTTTACCAGCAAAATACAGCTAATTCTATGAACAAAAACAACCTTTAAGGGCTACTATGGAGGACCAAACTAGATCTTGTATGTGAAAGCACTTTCTAAATTGTAGAATTCTATATTAATTACAACACCTCACATTTATAGAGTGCTTTATAATTTTCGAAGCACTTCACACATACTACTTTTAACTCATGAATAAAATATTTTAATTCCTAACCATTTCGAATAAATAAAAGTCTGTCATTTTATCATTTGGGCTGTTAGTCTGAAAAAGCACATTTGTAAACATTCCAGCACACCAAGAGCCCTGCTACAAAGTCAGAAATGAGAGGAAGAACTTACAAACACCACAAAGCCTCCTGTACAATATCAGCTTTCCTAGAAAGAGCTGCTATTAAAACTTCACCTACTGCTTAAGTGCATTTAAAATAACCAATCATACCTGTCAATATGCCCACTTGTTGATATATTTATACAGCCAGAAGCACAGACTGTTTAAAACATGGTCAGAAAAAGACTCTGTTAATCAAATTACCAGAATTAGACAACTTCAGTAGACTACCTTTCCTTGGCCCACACAATATTATCTTTCATTTTAAATATCTACATTTAAAAATTGGGAGACATGAGTCACATAAAAATCCAGATTTCCAGCCTTCACTTGAAAAATAAACAAACGTGAAAACTGGCAACAATCACCTGGAACTCAGGTGTTCTCCAGGTTATCCACTCCCCCATTCCCTAAGCCCCTTTACTGGTACCGTAAGCATCTTGAGTGCACAATCCCTGAGCACAAAAACGTTTATTTCTAGTTTCTTAATGAATGGAAGGCATTACCATCCTGTCCGTCTTTGAGCTCGTGTTCCTCCATTTCATTTTCATCCGACCCATCTCCGAACTCCTTTTCATACCGCGCCTCCATCTCCCTGAGCTCCTTCTCCAAGTCGGCCACCGTCATCCAGCTCTGTTCTTTGTACTGCTCCGCCAGTCTAGACACAAACAGCACAGTGTCCACACTCGCACTGGTTTTGCTTACTCTTTAGGCTTAAAATCCATCCCCTAAAGAGTGTCTTCCTCCCAAGCTGTCGATGTTTGCAAACTTAAAACTTGTGCCAAGTTAAAACAAAGTCACTTAAATCGGTTTTGTGGCTCATTTTAATTGCTCTAATAGATAACAGGTTTTGAAACCTGTAACGGAGCACGTTATTGTCTTCAGGTGACTTTAATTCATAAGTGTCAAGTGCTAGTTTTCTAAAGATGAGGGGTGGGGCAATTAGAATTTTTAAGAAATTTTTTTTAAAGAATGCTACAATGCTCTGGACACAAAGTTCTTATAGTAACTCAAAACAACAAAACTTTAAAGGCACCAAAGTGAACTAAATATCTAAGACTATACTGACCAAGAGGCAATACCGCATCGCGGTTAAAAGCAAGGGCACTGGACTGACTCCCGGCGTCCAAGTCCCACCCCTGGGGTTGACCAGCCATTTGATCTTGGGCCTGTCTGCCTCGTTTCCTCTAAAAATCAAAACTTCACAGAAGTGTTGTGGGAAAAGCCCTCAGAGCAGGGCCTTGTACAGACTGAAAGCTCAGTCAACGTTATTTAGTATTAGGTTGTACAGAGTCTGTAACAGATCTCAAGCATAAAGGGCCTAGGAAGGAAAACATCCAATTCAAAATTCAATTTCTTTTTCACAGTAAATGAAAAACCATGGTCTAATGGCAGGATTTTAAAAAAAGGATGAAGCCAGGATGACGGTTTAGCCCAACATGAAAGCATCGTGTCAGGACTCTACTGTCGACCCCGCCCCCGTATTTGGAAAAGATTCCGTACTTCGCCTGCCTCAGCTTCTGCTGCCGCCTCATCTCTTCGGCCTTCCTCGCCTTCTCCGCGTTCTGCTCCTCCACCAGCTTCCGATGAGCCTGCACTCTTTTATCTCTTTTACGAATGAAAGCTACCAGCTGGCGCACGAGCTCGTTCTTCTCTTTCCTTGCTTTGTCTCGAGTCTTCTTGTTTTCTTTTTCCATGGCTCGTTTCTCCCAGCGGTTAGAAGCTTGTCGTGTGTCATATTCTTCTTTCCAAGCAAAGTTCTTCTGAGTGCAAAAACTCTGCCAATAAGCGTAGAAAGGGTGGACTACCTAGTGACGAAGAAAACAGGGAAAATGCTAGGTTCTTATTTAGATTATTTTTAGTGAGGCAGCAAACATTCGTGATGCAGAACCTCTTTCTTCCTTCATATTTATAACATTACTGTCAAAGGAGAAGACAGTCTTTCTAAGGCTTTAACAGAATAAATCACTTCTGTATGAATTTACTGAGAAAATCAATGGGATGAGACCATGGTCAGTAAGCAGGGAGAGGTGAAATGGGAGGTGATCAGGGAGGGAGAGAGCGAGGCAGCAAACATTCGTGATGCAGAACCTCTTTCTTCCTTCATATTTATAACATTACTGTCAAAGGAGAAGACAGTCTTTCTAAGGCTTTAACAGAATAAATCACTTCTGTATGAATTTACTGAGAAAACCGATGGGATGAGACCATGGTCAGTAGGCAGGGAGAAGTGAAGTGGGAGGTGATCAGGGAGGGAGAGAGCGGAAGACAGTCGCCGGGCGGGCCTGAGAACCAGGATCCATTTTTTTTTTTTTTTTAAATAAAAGCAATGGGGGAAGACACCCTGATGCACGGCGACTGCAAAACGCAAGGAGTTCCCCTTCACCGTGTCATAGTCACTCTGCGAGTCTCCGAAGGTCGGGAAGCCCTCGGCGTCCTCTTCCAACACAGATTCCAGTTCCTCCTTTGCGATCATTTCAAAAACATTACGATACACCGTGTAAAAGCCCTAAAAACAGTTCGCAGAAACACAAATTCTCAATACTTTTGTGCTCTAATCACAGAATAAGACTTAAAAATGTAACATGAAAACCTTTAACATTAAAGAATTACGGCCCCAAGGTATCACCGCAAGTGCAGCTGAGCTTCCACTGGAGGTTTTTACAGGCTGACAGTTTAAATACGAAGGCAGTGTTTTTTTAGTTTTCAAAATGAACATTGTTTCAATTTCTATTACAGAATTCTCCTTGAACTTGAGGGTCTTAGTGCTTGATAAAGAATTATGAGTAAGTTCATTTCTTACTTTTTCATCATCTCCATAACCAGAGTAACAGGTAACAGTGAAATAGTGAAGCAAATCTAAGCTGTCATCTTGATATTCTCCATCAAGCCCACCTTTAAGCAGAGCCTCTCTATGATTATCATACCTAAACAACAACAAAAAATTAGCATCATCAGTGAAGGCTGAATACATAAGGATTCAAAAGGACTCCTTACTCTGAAATAGCCAAAATGTTATTATTGTACATTTTAATGTGTCCAACCCACAACCAAAAAAATTTTTAAAAATTAAAAGACTTAAATCTTTCACAAAATTGCTGATTAAAACTGTGACTGCAACTTCTAATACACTGTAGGAATTATACAGTACTAGCCCATATGAACAGGGGAGTTTGGCAAGTCAGGCAATTTCCATGACTCGCCCAGAAAGGTGGCAGAATTTTAACAGGAAAGAAACATTACTGAATAGTACAGTAGTGGACATAATCTGGTCCACAGACTGATTATACATTTGGGACTCGGGATTTATCAGCATGTACCAGAATAAGACTCTTGCTATGTTTATGTAAATAATCTAGGAGCTTCATCCGCATGCCATTACTCCTCATGATGTAAAGTTAGTTATTGTCCTCAAGTAACAGGAACTGAAGCTCCATGGTGTTAAATAACTTGTTGTCCATAATCACGAAGCCAGTAAGCAGCAAAACTTGAGTTCAAAACCAGGTCTTCCTGCACGGGAAGGACCAGGCTCCCAGCCTATGAACAGCACTGCCTCTAGGTAATGGGAGAGTTAATAGGCAGGAGCCTTAAATAAAAAGACAAGGGAATCTTTGGGACAGAAAAACCTAAGATCCAGAAAAGAGGCTAGAGAAAAGGTCAGGAAAAAAAATCTAAGTTCCCAAAGGAAGGTAAAAGCATGAGAGGAGAGAAATGTAAGACTCTGATTTTCGTATAAAAGACAATTCTATAAGAATTTCCTTTACAGCCCTTCTCTCTCGACAGCCAGCATCACTGCACAGTCTCACATGCAGAAGACTTGCACAGTAATGCTGAGCACCCCTGCTCTCTGCAACAGCAGGATCTTGCACACTTATGTCAAGGCTTAAAAACTTTTTTTTTTGGTAACAAAAAGGTCATCCAGAATATGAAACTCAACATCAAAATTTTTGTTTGGAAATGATGTTAAATTATCAGGTCATCAGTAGTAAAAGTATTTGTCATAGATGTAGAAGCTTAACTCAATTTTTTCATATAAAGTAGTTCTTGGGAAAATATTAAATTCTTGTATTTACAACACTATATCTGTTTAAGGACAAGTCAACATTCTTCCTTATCTGACATTAGTAAATCTGTCATATACCAAAGAGACTCCATTTAATGAGCAGTCACTTCGTAAGTATCAACATTAAATCTAATATTGCCAAACTTTGTTTCATCACCTACGAAATCTAGTAGTTGGAGAAATCATCTCTAATGTTCCTTCCTACCCAGACACTGCATTTTATATAATGAATAGGTGACCGAAGCCTCAGAACATACCAAAAACCATTTGAGGTATTAATTTTTTTGTGAAAAACCCTCTGTTGACAACTCTTCCCAGCGAAGTACACTAGGACAGAAGGGAGAGTGTAATGCTCACCATGCTCTCTCCTGAGGGTCGCTCAACACATCGTATGCTGCTTGTATTAATTTAAATTGTTCAGCTGCTTCTGCGGCATTATCCAGATTTTTATCTGTTAAAATAAAGTCACAGAAATTTAGTCATCAAAAAAGTAGAGGACAGATTCTAAAAGGGACCTCTCCCATCACAAATGCCATAAATAGATGAGTGTATAAAACAAAGAAAAACAACTAAAGAAAAGCAGAAAGATACTAGATGACAGTTGATGATCAGAATCTCAGTATCTGCTTGAGTAGATTTCATGCTTTTCCCTATGCCCTGGTACACTACTGAGCATCAATATGGACATCCACGAATGGAAATATACATTTTATTTTTAGAAGGAACTATATACAGCTATAGAAAAACTATTATTATTTAGCGCTAGATTATGTTTGGCTCAACAACTTAACAATGACAATACTTTCTCAAGTGTAGCAATTTGCCATAGCTCTTTGAACTATGATGCTTTAACACAAAAACTTTCGATATTATTTTAGAATCATACTCCCTTGAAATTGTAAGAAGTAAAAAAATTCTCCATCCCTGTAGCCTAGTTGTATGTGAGAAATAATTCAATGTAAGTCTAAACCCCCTTTCACGGTACGGCCCACATGAACACAGCCAATGGGTCATCTCCCGGCTCGCCTCTTCTGTGGACTACATACTGCCATTTCTTACAGCATGCCATAATCCTCCACTTCAAATGTAGTTAAAGGCAGTCGCTGATAGTCAAGGAGCCATTCATTACTTCCTTTTCTTAACACTATTTTTAATCACTCTAGCTAATTACATTAGCTGTTAGCAACAATATCACACTGTCATTCTGAATTTATAGCTGACAAAGTTTCAAGTATTTTTCATATTACTGACAAGCCAACCGATAGCTGTATAATAATAGACTTAATCCATTCTGTGGCAGACACTAAAGATCATCCAGTACTCTCTACTTTTTTTTTTGCAGCCTTCACTAGGAAGGCTGGATAAGCAAGTATTTGGGCTTGTCCAGCCACCCCTGCTACTAGGAATGGCCATGTGACAGTTCTGACCAATGAGACAAAAGCAGAGTTATAGTAGTGTATTTTCTTTCCTTCTTTTTTCTTGTCTTCTATGGAGACACGATTGCTGGAACTTCAGTAGCCATTTTGAGACCGTGAAGGAAAAGCCAAGAGATTCACAGTGACATAACTGAACTACTGAAACAATGCTAGCAGACACCTACCTCTAAGACTTCTTGTGGTGGAAAAAAAAAAACAACTTTAAACCATTGTGGTTAGGTTTTCTGCCATTTCCAACTAATACTGCCAAATTCTATCTGTTGTGGTCCAGTTGTAACTGAATTCTAGGTAGTACAGGACACTCAGTGCTACTGTAATTATTTTAGATTTTGATTACCACTCTGTGACAGATACTACTAGTTGCCTACCCAGTATCAATTCTCTTCTTCATCCTAACAAAACCCTGTGATAACGTACCCAGTTAAAAATTCGCCTCCCCAGTCTCTTGAAGTTGGGGTTATCAGGTGACCAATTTTAGCCAATCAGATATAAACACATGTCTACCAAGTGAAGTTTCCCCGGAAAGGCTTTGTTTTCCAGATGAAAGAGACGGGCTTTGATGGTGCTCACCTCAGGCCCTTCACCCATCCCATGTCCCACCCAAAGCCAGGGCATAATGAATACGTGCAGGTGGATTATGAGGCTTGAGGCAGAGACTGCTAGCTTATCCCCTTTTTTCAGTAATAACTGAACCTTGACTCAGGGTAGGCACCTGGTCCCAGAATAAAGACTTCACTTCCCAGGCTCCTTTGAAGCTTAGGCATGGCCACATGACCTGTCATGAAAAAGTATTCTAAGACAACTTTATAAGAAATTTCTTTAAAAGGCAACTAGCACACACTCTGTCCCTGCTTTATCCCTTCCTCTTCCATTCTGCTGCCTGGGATTTCCAGAGGTCACTCTGGATGATGAGAAAGAGACCACTTGAGAGTTGCTGAGCAGAGAGTGGAAGGACCTCACGGAGAACTGCTATACTGGGGCTCCCCCCTGCCTACCTCTGCACCTCCACATGCAAGAGCAATAAACTTCTATGGTTGCGCTAAACTGCTTACACTAGGTACAAGGACTCAAGCCTTTTAGTCAGGTTGATGGATAAGGTCTTTGATAGTTTCATCAAGCTGCTGAAGCTACCAAGATGGGCCACCTCTGGATTTCTTGTTATGTGAGAAAAGTAAAACGACTATTTGGTTTAGCCGCTATAGCTAGCATCCTATCACTTGCAGCTGAACATAATCCTGATATACTTTCAAGGTAAGAGTTCAGCTAAAAATAGTGATGATTTCTATCTTCATCAAATCATTAATAAAATGTTTGTCAGATGAATAAAAAAGCACAGTTTAAAATGAAAGCAGAATGGCAGAAAAAGCCAGCAAATAAATCTTCCCACATAAAACAAAAAAGCTGACTATTTGGGGGTGGTTGGGGAGGTTCTTCTTCACCTTTTAACCAGTACTGTACTTTGTTATCCTATTTCTTCCCACTCCTTTCTTTCTTCCCTCAAAGAAGTCTGAAGAAAACTAAAGCTTTTAAGCACATAAAACCTATCAATGTACTACCTGAACGTACGATCTGATCTCTTACTGAACCTTCTTTCTTAAATAATTTTTCCATCTGTCATATGGCTTTTTATTTCACTTAAATATACCTGAACTAGTTGACTATATGGTTGAACTCAAATCTAAATGCATGAAAGCAAGAAGTTAAAAACCACTAATTTAAAAAATGGAAAGCCCACATTTATTATTCAGCAAATACAAAAGCCAAGGTATCGTAAATCCGGTCATCAAAGTTTAAAAGGCATTCTCACAATATTTTGTGCGCTTTTTTTTCATCCCCTAGCACCCTCTTCCACTCCTTCACAAATCTTTTTACAGTACCTTCTAGAAAATTCTATGAATCTAGCCTTTTGAGCCCTGCCTTAACTGAAGCCAGGCTCCCTGAGAACTCTGCTTTCCTGCAAAGCTTCCCTCTCGGGCTCCTTCAGCCACAGCCCTCATTCTGCAGGTCTGATGCTGAAACTGGCATCCTCGTGGTCACTGACCCTTTACTCATCCCCAAAGATAAATTAGCATTCCTTTGGGTTCAGACCATTTGGCAATCCCACCTTCTCCTCCTTCTCATTGTCTACTCACCTCCCAACCATTCCGCCTTAGTCACTGAGAATTTTGGCACCTGGCTCAGAGTTTCCATCTCCAGGTCCTACTGTCATCCTGGGTGACTTCAATGTACTTGACTTCCTGCTCTACCTACTCCCATCTTCCCTGCTCCAATCCATTTGTCCTACTACAGCCACAAAGATATTTGAAAAACACAAACCTATCATCTCCCCTGCTTCCAACTCTTCAATGACTTCCCAATGCTCTCAGGTTAAAATCCAGCTTACCACACCTTTCAAGACCTGGCTCCAATTTACCTGGCCATGCTCACCTCCTTCCCCTTCCTGGACTCTGCCATGCTTTTTCTTGCCTCCCTCCACCTGTATTCTCTGTATTCCTGCTTTAGATCTTGACCTAGAGGTCACTTCTTGAGGGATGCACATCTATCCGACCCACACGGAACCGGGTCAGGTGGGTACGCGTGCTCATAGGCACCTCCTATTTGCCCTCATCTCACCAGACTGAAATTGTTTTCCTCTCAGTGTCACTCCAACGACTGCAGGGCCAGCAGGGAAGGGACCATTCCTGTCTTGTTCAAAGACTAGTCATCGGATGAATTACTGAGACTGCCCTTCACAAGGAGTGATCTCACTGGGCAGTAAGTACTGTTGACCCTACTAGAAATTATTCTCAGTTCCTCAATAAAAGAAAAACAGGCATTTTCTTTCCTTCTAACAATGAAAAAATGGGCAGCCTTTCTACTTGAGCAACATATTATTTTGGGAAGCAAAGCCCATACTTTAAACTCAAAAACATCCAGCACAGTACCTCGCACATAGAATAAAATTAAACACTTGTTGATTGACAGACTAACAAATTAATGTGCCAGCAAAGCACATCAAAATCATGCATCTCCTGGGAGAGTATTTATCCTTTAAATGTACAAGCATCTTCAAACCAAAAGATACTTAGGATACTAAGAATTATGATGATAGTTTGAGAAGATATTCACATTTAGTTACTAACATGTTTGGTTTCAAAGTAGTTAGCTGGTATTTTAGTAACATTTACATATTTCTTCCTTGCATTTCCTTGGCTATTGATTTCCAAGTAATCATCAAATCTGGTAATTTTTCCTTTACGTCTTTACGGCCTTCCCCTCCCACTGACCCCTTCCTAAGGTGGGATCTCCCTGACTTCTGTCTCTACCCTTCTTCAGTCCTCTCAGTTGCCTTCACAGTTTCTTCTTAAGATCTCCTAAAACCACCCTCAACAATCCATTATTGGAAAGACAAATTTCACAATCTTTAGCCTAACATTCAAGTCCTTTACAATCTAATCTCAAAACTACTATTCCAAAATGTTTTAGTAATCCTCAAAATTATATACGCATTTAGTCACGAGCATTAATCCTCTTCCTCACACTTTCCTGCCCAGAGAGTAAATAAATTCCTAACTTCCTTCTAATTCCTAACACAATTTCTAATGGTAACCCCTATTACTCTGAGAACATGCTTCTACACTATCTTGGATTTATTAATTTTTTTGGATACAGCTACTGACTTCCTGCTGTGATGAACAGTTAGTTCACTTACCTTTTTCCTGCCACTATATATCTTTTTAGTTCTATTGGTAATCATTCTAACTTTAAATAAAAAATCCATACTTTCATTTCTTGTTCTATCAATTACAGACATCATTCCTTCTGATTTTGGGTCCTGAGCCTTTCCGACAGCTCTCCCATCCCGTATTTTCAGACTTTCAATAAACACTGCCTTCAATCATAATGACCCCCAAACATCTTTTGTCCACCACGTGCTCTTGCCCATACTGTTAAGTTCACTCTTCCCAATTCCAGTCCTCCCCCTAGGACTCAGCTAAAATCCCGGTTCCTCTATCAAGCGGAAGCCTCACTGCTTCTCAGTACCTAGTGAAAACTCCGTCTTCCTGGGGCATTATTCGTTATTCTATTCATCCAATTACCAATTACATATCTGTTGTGCTATTTTGTTTGCACGTATATTTAACTTTTTCCGTGGTAAGACATGTTTTCCCAAGAAGACTGAGATCTCTGTCTTAGCATTTCAGAATCTACAGGATACTGACCTGCATATTCTGGAGACTATAAAACGTGCTTATTGATTCATGCTAATATGAAAGCCTCTTATATACCTCAGAAAGCTGAGATTCAACTACTGTCTTTCCCAGTCCGGAAGATCAGATTACTTCGCAAAAGTCGCACAAGCCTGGACTACAACCAAATAAAACATTCAAAGGAAGCATACGTCTAAGTCAACATACAAACCACTAGGAAAGACACCCAATTAAAACTTTTTAACTGCAGAACATCCTAAATACAGGGTGTGATCAAACAGACTACTAAAAGAAAAGTTACTTTAACGACTGTTCCTAGCTCCTCTGTCTTAATTTCAAGAAGACATGAACCATAAGTTACACTTCAGTAGCAGGAATTCCGTGAAGTTAAGGGCAGCCGAGGAAAAGCTCCGGGGAAGCGGAGCTGCAGGGACAAGCCCGAGGCTGAATGTTGTCGCTAGAATGTTGTCTTTCCCCACCAACTGGCAATGCAGGAACCGTGGGAAAGTGGGGTGGCGTCTGGAAAGGGACGGGGTGCCCGGAGCTCCAGTAAAACCTGGAGGTGGAGGGCTGAGTAGGGAGGTGGGGAGGACCGCGCAGAGGCCACCCGGCCGGGGACTGGAGGCCGGACGGGGTGTCGGGCACGGTTTCCAGGGCGAGGAGAGTTACGGGGCGGGGGATGTCGAGGCACGGCCGGGTTCCCGGAGTTACCCCGGGGCGAGGGGTGAAAGGGGTCGCGAGACCGGGGCTGGCCAGGGGCCGCGGCGATGGCGGAGCAGTTACCCGGGTGCCATTTCAGGGCCAGCTTGCGATAGGCCCTCTTGAGCTCATCCTCGCTGGCGTCGCGCCGCACCCCGAGCGCCTCGTAGTGACACTTCATCGTCCGGACGGGCGGGGGGCCGGGG